GGCCGGTAGAGGTGTAGATCAATGATGACCTGTGGAATGGGATGGTGGAAGGCCAGGATCTTGATGGATTGAGAATAATGCCAACCTTCATATGGCGCGGCGTTGATAGCTCGACAGTAATCGGGGAGAAATGCTGTCACGGACCTTTTTTCTCCGCATCAATTCATGAGCGACGCTGTCGTTGATCCTCATTTATGCGATATGGCAAACGGGCTTAGATTGAAACATGCGTCGTTATAGAGCTCCATTACGGGTAAGAAGCTGATAATTGCGGGCGTGGAGAACAGGCTGGGCTTCGCGTGTCTCCTTCCATGATAGCATATAAGAAACCTCTGAGGATTCTCTTCACTCAGCCCATGCAGCTCACTTCGTACATGAAGAAAATGGACGCACCAGATCGCTCTTCATCGACCGAGCGACCAATTAAAAGACAGCGGCAGCTCTCTAAACACTGTGTGGATGACACTACATACCGTCGACCTGCATAGCATATTCCGAGAATCTTCGGGGCGTGAAAGTATCGAGTTCAAGGTCAGGATCTTCCCAGTAGCAAAATGGGAGCCTAGTTGACATGTAATAGAACACCACTGGCGCTGCCAGCCTTTTGCCAACTGAGGCCAAGCAGATATTCCGGATGCGCTCTTCCATCTCGAGGCCAGCTCTCGACCTACTCGACCTATTCCTATGTCTCTGGCAATGTTATGTTGTCAAATCTGCTGAGAAAATCCGACTCGAGAACGAACGACGCCAATTTTCGCTGTCCAATGACGAACTAAAAGCCGAAAATGGTCTTCTACAGCAGCGTTGTAATGAGCAGGCCCTGGTACTCTGGGACCGTGGGCGCGCAGCCCACGCTGTTCAGAATGGAATCGTGTCGATATTACGGACGTTTTACCGGAATTTTGACTAGAAAAATTATCTCTGAGTGATCAACAAACATTGGTGAATATGTATGAAAGCGAGGACGCTGGATGGTCTTCTCTTACGATGAACGGGGATGACCGTTGAGACGTCGATGCAGCCGAGAGTTAATTCTCGTTGAGCTTGTGACTATCCATACCTTGCTCAAATAGAAGTATCAATGGACCTTTGATTAATACGATGTCTGGCTCTGATAAGAAGGTTAAATTGGCCTATTGCTCGCTCCCTTTCCAACCCGCAAGTTCGTCGATCTAATACCAATGATCCAGTTCTGTTCTCTCCCACTCCTTGAACTATCGACTTCCGAGGAAATGAACTACCTGGCCCAAATTGGTTGGTTAAGTCCTTTTCACATCTCCCAAAACGCATACTTACCACCAAGCAGACTTTGTTTCCGATGATGACATCCACGCAGCCTGGCAGGAGTCCTCTAACGTACCCGCTGTACCCCCCTGCCTTGCTACCGACCGCCGCGGATTGAAGCGAACTTCATTCAACTTATCAGGGGTCTCCAGCTCTGAAATTTACGGGCTATCTTTGGTCGACTGTGTTTTTTATCCGAATCATGAAACCCAACAAAGCTTTCCGTGGACAGGTCCGGATCCTCTGTCTCCGTCTACCAAGGCGGAGGATATTTTTGTATACTTTTCCGCCTTCTTGCTACCGGAGAAAGTCTACTGGGTGGAATTTCGTCTTTCAAGATTTGACTCTCTCAGTGATGAGTTGATGGGTGAGCACCTTTTTTTCCCGCCACGATTCGAGACAGCGACGGGGAATCTTTCTCGGGTGCGCAAGCAGATTCTCGACATCGTCTCCCAAGTACGCTCTGCAGCGCAGACTGTCCGTTTCCGACTGTCGATGTGGCCCCGCTTGGAACCTCTTCCTTACACTCAGCACTTCATGATGTCGCCGCACTCCGCTCTGCCTACATTTCCCTGTCTCGATCCAGGGTTTTCTGTCAACAACCTCCGCGGAAATTTCAGATAAATCTGGAATCTGAACTGGAGATACAGAATCGGAAATGCAATGAGCCTGTTCAGGCAAGTAGTATGTTTCAGATACTAGTGCTAGTGCCAAGGTACTCACCTTTCAAATGAACTGTTTGAAACCTAATACTAAAGACGAAGCCAAATAGTCTCGAGAAAGACCGCCACAGGCAAATTATTTGATGTGCTCTATTATTTAGAACCCTTTTCACTAGGACTCCACATATGGTGCGCCAATGAAACAAAATTCCATTGCCTGTCTCCTATTTGGCTGATTCTGGCTTTCCATTTATCAAATACTTTTTATTTTTCATTCCTTCTTTCATTAAATGGGCAGAGAAGTAAATTGGCTTCTGATCACCTGTTTATTGCATGCCTCTTGTCTGCGTACTGCCTGCGTTGGCTCCGCAACATTCCTTGCTAACTGACACGAAAAAGAAATCCGAAGCTGATGAGGCTGGCCAAAATAACAATGCTACCAAGAACAATATGTCCAATAGCTCCATGGTATACAATGCTGCAAAGAGGGAAGACGCTTCGGTCATCGAATGTTGCAAAGAAGTCAAGAAATCCATGCATCTGGTCCATAAAATACCCACCCAAAGATAACACAGCTATTCCGAAGAATGACTGGATGAAAAAGAAGTTATCAAGGGCACTTCTCCCTTCTCATATCCACCTTGTGTGGGCGAAAAGTGTAGCACCAAACACGGAAAACAGAGCCGAGGAAAGTGCGATAATGATCATTGCCTTGCGCAAGTCACTCATGAGCTTTCGGAATGTGCCGTACAGGATGGAGTTGTCAGATTCAATGAGGCCAATATTGCTTGGTCACACAGATTATCTTCAAAACGAGCAGTGGCGGAATTGAACGCATCGACAAGTAGCCAAATCGTGGTGATGAGAAAATTGACACCAAGGCGTACAATGATACGGGATGCATCGGTATATTGGGACAATATAATGAAAAGAAGCGCGTAAATCGGGATGGAAATTACCCAGAAGCTTAAGCTGCACAATTTCAGGGTTTCGAGTAAAGCTCAGAATGAGTAGGTAAAAAAGAGTTGGGACAATATGACAATCATCCGGAAACCAATGTATGAATAATCTTTAGATTCTGAAGGCATTTGCAAATACATCATCATGCAAGCTCACAAACCACAAGACATTGGTTGCCTACGATTCGTTTTTTGATCCAGCTCGTCAATCTCTATCCGATGTAGCACCAGATATCCTAGGAGCAAATAATGGAACTTATCCAACTCCGCTACTGAGGCTATCGGTTGAAAAGATCACTTTAGCATTCGTCAGAACCATTAATGCTCCGAGGAATATGACGTAAATTTATAGGATTCATTTCTGAAATGGCAATGCCAAGAACGAAGATGTATTTTTGCTACCCACAGCTTGCACATTCAGCTTTATGCCAGAGTGTAATTTCTTCTCTTACTGTATGATGCGTGGCCTGAACAGTTGGTGGATGCTCAAAATGCCCGCATTGTAGTAAATGGGTTACTTTCGATGGACAACCTATGACAGCATTGTATAGAAAAAGGTGGAATGCTTTAGGTCCATACCCGAGTCGCAAGTTTCCAGTAACTTGAAATATGGTCCAATGGTTCTATTGGAGGCAGCAATTCTTCGCTGGTTCGGAACTAGCACTATCCTCCTATCTTACCTAATGAACTGGGTCCATCATAACGCAAACTTAGACCGAGACCCGGTTTTCATGGACCGACAAGAAGCTGCTGCCTTGCACATGGCTCTGTCTACGGGGTTGGTGAGATTTATCATTCGTCTCAATCTCAGCTGCTCCTGGCCCGGAGACCGGAAGCTTCCAAGCAAAGCTATCGACCAATGGCCACCCAAACTAAATTTGGCAGCCAAGAACCGATGCACATAGGTGCAGCATGTATGATCTCTTGCTTCCCTTCTTCAAAGGGAATCGTGGAAGGCAATTGTGTTGCATGGGACAAAGAGAAAGTCCACAGGGAGCCGTCAGAAGTTGCTTCTAATAAATTCTTACTATGGGCTCAATTGACTGCCAAACTGGATGAATTCTATGGTCAAATGTCTATTCGATCGCAATCTGACATTTTTTCTTCGACGAAGTTATGGTCAGACTCACTGAGGGTATGCTCGACTCTGGCAGTGGACGGGGCAAATTTTGTGTGCCCTGAGTGTGAATGTTGAACTGTGATTTTAGCTAGAGTCAAAGCTCTCTTCTCTTGATAGTGACCTACTTGTAGACACACAACGACTGCATTCTGTGAACCAAAACTCACCATCAACTCTCAATCAGCTATCACGATACATGATCTCATTACTCGCACACAATTCTTTAAATACCCTCACCGACGGTAAATACCACAAGGGATCACCCACGTTTGATATAAGATCTAAGCTATCCTCAAGTACAAGGTTAGCAGGAGGCAGGTCTGCATTGTAAGCACACCGAGAATTTAAGTCTTGCAAATCACATGCCTGGTATGATGTGAATGGGGCCCCAATCTGTGCACACATCGTCGAGGCACGGGCCGTCAGGCATTGCAGCAATTCGTGTGGGAAAAGGGTGGCCCTCTCATGATTGGCCGCCACCCTTTCCCTAACTCATCATGGCTAGTTCGAGCTTTCTAAAGGGCACTCATGCATAATTCCCACTGAATTTGGATTATGACGCACAGGTCGCCAACCCCGCTCCATAAACTGTTCGCGGCACCCTTTAGCTCTCAACTTTCTATTTTGCCATTTTTCTACTTTTCTCTCTCGAAAAGTGAATGGTCAAGATGAGTGACCAAGAAGGAAAAGATTTATCCGATTCGAAGAGAATAGAGCAAAACCAGCTCATCAATATGTCCATGTCTTCTGGCGAAGAAGCTCGCAGAGCTCGGGGAAAAAGGACATTGAACTACCCTCTTAGCAAATCGCCAATAATCCAAACATCGGCCAAGTCTTACATATCTTCAGGGTCGGAAGCACAAAAGAAGAGACAGACAAACAAAAAAGACTAAACGGCGAGTGCTTGCACAAGGAATAAACATCAAGAAATCACGGAGAGAGGTTTATTGATTTGACATGATTGACACGAAACATTTACTCGAATGTACATGTTCGGTCAGCTGCACTGAATCGCTTCCTCACTTGATCCTTATACTCCGTCTCTTGCCATAGTTTCGCTTGAATGAAGTCTTCCGCCTTTGTGGTCCAGTATGGGCTAACTGTCCGATCAAAGATCCGCTGAGTGCAATGTTCTTCACAAAATATGCGCTGGATATGCTCGTTGAACACACGAAGAAGACCTTTCGGGCTGTGGAGCGCTTGGAAATACCAGAAGCTTCCTCTGTCCCAGCATTCCCTCATGATCTCGGCCTGGGTGGGGGCGGACCTGCGAAGTCTTTGTTCTTGTTCGTCAAACGCATCTATAAATTCAACCATAACTTCTTGAAACTTTTGAAGATGCTCGCCATTCTCAATATCATCGATAGGTCGACCAGTCAACCAGTAGGGTGGTGTTTGTAGTTCGATTGGGAAAATGCAGGCCCATTCCAAGTCAATCAAGGATGTGATGTGCCAATCGTTATCGACAAAAATGTTGCTTGGATGGAGATCAGTGAGTGAAAGAATAAATGGGCCGTCACGATATTGGCTGGAAATAAAATGCGGCAAAAGACCCTTCATCATAGTCAAAGCGGCTAGCTGCTCCTGCCCATCATTCAGGTCATGGATAGCATTGGGCTGATAGTGTATGCGATTGTCGTGACAATGTAAAAGGTCTAGAATATAGGGTTCCACACATTGGAACGTAGAGCTCCTAGGTATCGTGGGAATCCCTTCATTCTCTAAAGTCTGGAGTCGCAATGTAAGGGGACGATTCGTTAATTTGATCAGGCCATCGTCATCCAAACTTAACGATCCAATACGTGGAAATTGTATTCGACTCAGTTCAATCATGATCTTCGCGATATCACTGAAAAGAGTATGTCTTCGAGTCTTGTCCGTTAAGAGATATTCTCCCCACGTATCAGAGAGCATACGCCCATTTTTAACAAAGCTGATGATCATGTATCCCATTTTGATGGCACTTTCATTCCTAATACCGACAAATGGACAAGTATTTGGGTATCTAAACCATGACCGGATGGTTCGTTTCAAGCGCCAATGCCATCGTGTAAACCAACCCATGCATTTCTCCAGAGCAAACTAGGAGCAAAGTTAGCCGTAGCTCTTCTAAATGAGAGAGTAGAACAGGCCTACTTACAGCCTGTCCATTAGGAAAGGCGAACCCATAGAGGGAAGGTATTGGAACATCTGGGCAATTCTCATGGATCCAAATATATGTGGCGACTTCACAGCGCAGTTTTTCGTTAGTATTCCCAGGGAAAGTCTCCTCGCCAATTTTGAAAGGCAGCGGGACACGAAAAAGAACACGTTCCTTTGATTGCGGACCTATATGGATCGGAATGCAAACATTGTAACTTCCAAATAACCAATCGGCCTCGTCGGCAACCTGGCAATTTTTCACACCAAGATGGAACGAGACCAAGGACTCAATGTCACGTTTATGGGTAAGGAGATCTGAACAGAAGGCTTTCAGCTTCTGCGGATAGTCTAAGCGATGCAAGATGTTGTCGTCGTCGGTCAGGGCATCCTCCAAGGAAATGATGTTCCCCCTCAGTAAAGGGAGACCTGCCATGTTGAAAGGAGGGAATAATCTGTCACAATTGCCGTGGTCGGCACAATAAACACATCGAGGATACAAAGCACTTGGGTCTTCAAGTGCCGGAAAGGGGGATGATATGATCACCAACTCTGCACAAAGATGATCCGGCACCGGTGAAATGTTTATCCCAATGTATGACAAATTATGCCCCACTTGATGTGGGTCATGATGTTTCTGCCTCTTTGTTTGAATCTGCGGAGCGGATCCATCGGGCTTGGGGTTTCTCCCGGGCGTTCTTTGTCTGTTCAGACGAGCCTTGGAATGGAGTAGACTCCCACTATCTTAACAACCAATAGAAAGAGGAATCTTTCTTTAAGCGGATATGTGCGTTTCTTTATTCTCACCTCGTCTGTCTGGGCGAGGGTCGACGCTCACGACCGCCGCAGTAAGGAATTTTACACGGATGGGCAATTTATAAATAGCGTCTCCGTACCTCTTTCTGTCCTGTATCTCAACCCAAAGGTCTTCAAGCATTTGCCAAAGCATTTGTCAAAAACTTCCTCAATCTAATTACGGCTTTTATCAATTTCTTGTTTGTCCATTATGTCTCATCACTTCCATGATGCGCCGAGCCCTGAACCCGCCGAAGATATAGCGCAGAGTCCCAATGAACATGCGGTGGCAGGTAAGTTGATCTCTTGCTTGCAATATTTGATGCAGAGAGCAGCTAGGTTAACCATCGTAGAGCTAAGCCAGATGATGTTGCGCCGGTCGCTAGTTACGACTCGAATGGTCATGGGAAGGTTGTTGCCTTATTACTTTATGTACCTTTTCGCGATAGGGTATATCAAAGAGCAAAGTGAGTTCACAGGGGAAAGTAGGGAACGTATAGATACTTACCGATTCAAACCGCCCCAGAATCCTCTCAGGGGTATATCTCCACCAATTCCGTGTACCCATGGTGGGAGGAACAACAGTGTGTCCTTGATTCAGAGAGCACAATTTCCGATCTGGGACATTATATCAAGGAGCAGCTTCTGGCAGATGGTTGGATACTGGATCGAAGTAGACATGAAGCCTCTTTGAGCCCATTTCCCCCCGATATCGATTCCGTGATCCTCGCGCGCAGCTACATTACCACCCTCGAAAACTGGCTCCTGAGTAATGTGGAAGATCCAGAGGAAACAACCCCAGTCGATGGAGTTATAGACCCATAGGTTGTTCTGATCAGCGATATACGTAGTGACATACATGATCCGGCTTCCGTGAATGCAAGAACGAATCTGACAGCTAGATATGAATATCATCAAGTATAGTTACAGTAAGCAGTCCAATTTGTAATTCTTGGGAGCGAGTTGTACCATGGCTGTTTTCTCTGCTGCAAAAGTCGCTCCGCTCCTCCTTTCCCAGTCGAGCCCTTCATTATTCTGGGGAGGAGGGCTGCATATACTTTGATGAATACAGTCAGCCACATGACCGAATCCCTTGGGATCTAACGAGCTCGAATACTAAGTGGGTCATGTAACTGCGATGGACATCATTGTATCAGCACGATCAAATGATAACAGGGTGTATTAAGACCCACAGGCTCCTAGGAGCTCACAGCCAAATTCGGACAAATCATTTCTACTGAGGGTATGTTGCGTATGTGAGTCGTTAACGGCACCGATTGGCTCATTATTCCTTCATAGCATCCTATGATAGCATCGACATGACGACCCACAGGCTCCTGGGAGCCACGGCCACGTATTAACCAACTACTTTTCACTCTACTGATGACTTTGTGCGCAGGCGCGCCATTCATGGCACTGATTGGCTCATATTTCCTTGTAGTAGTACCCACCTTCCCGTGTCCACTGAGTTCCCAGGAGATCGATGTGGTTATTGCACTACGCAAAGACGACGCTGATGGCAGAGAGTTATTCTACGGAAACGCAGTCGAGTCGGGGCTGTACGAATCAGTCCCACGCTGCATCATAGCTTTTATTATGTAGATGTGATGAATCTTCTCTGATATATGAGGTAGACACCAACACCGAATGAAGATGAAGAATCTTGCGGTTGGATTGGTAGGTGACTAGAGGTACAACGTGGCTTGATGTTTGCCTTATTTTGAAGGAGTATTCTTTGAGTAGAGTAACGGCTCATCATCGGTGAGCGAAATTAAATGGTATAACCTGTGGCCGCCCCCACCGCCGTAAAAATGTACGGACACATGGTGGTGAATGTTGATACGCGACATAGGTGCTTTTCTGCGGCAATCTCAAAACTGGTTAAACGATACCAACAGTGAGAAAAACAATTCATAAGCTGGATCATCAGGAAAGATACAATGCCTCCGAGTGCAGCATTAAATTAATGATGAAATGTTGAACGAGCTGCAATTAAAGGGTCGTCTGTGTTTGTGCCCTCACAATTCACAATGATCATTGCGTCGACGCAAACAGAATGATTGGCTTCAATGCTATAAATACCCGATGCCTCGCCAGCAGAACAGCCGTTCTCAAGCACTCCTTTCCAATTCTGACTCAAATTATATTGGGCGCTTTTCATTTCTGCCGGCTACTCTTTGGTACGGACTGACCTCGAAGTCATGCACTTATAATCAAAGTGACATTTTGCATCGCACTAGCCTGTAGTTTTTCGATGCTGAAGTCTTCAAAAAGCAAGTGAGTGTAGCTGCCCTGTCATTTGAAATCATGCCGAGATGGAGTATGCTAAAGATCAGTCCCACCTCCGCTACTCCTGTAGCAAACCATTCGAAGCACCTCGGATGGCCTCAAAAGGTATCGTGGCTGCGAGCACGGTGAGCGTGTAAGTTGCCTTCATAAGCTTACTACTAATATAAGTGGTAGATCGAAATTATCTCTTACGGAGCGGCTTCGGCCTTGCCAGAATGTAGCGAACAGCAATAACTAACAACGGAAGATTTGATCAGCGGCAAGTTAGAGAGTATTCATCCTGTACTGACGAGCCCCTGTACAAGAAGGCAAACGTTCGACCACAATCCGCTCGATCTCCTCTCAGTCACCCTGGTGCGTTGCCTCTGCCTATTCCATGGCCGTGACTGCATTTTAGATCTCGGTACAGATATCATTTACTTGAGGTTTTATCTTGTCGTGCTCTCTGCCAATCAGAAAAGATCAGTGATGCTTGATTCTAGTCGAAGGACAAATGCCAAGATGGCGTTCGCCACGACCGAGCCGGACTTCCCCATCGCCCTCAGAACCAAGGATGCACGTCACGTTGAACCAATGAATCCCAGTGCATTTTTATTTCGCTATTTCAAGACACCTGCATGAAACGTCCATTTGGCTCACGTTGGCGGAACAAATCTAGGAGTACCCAGTGCCCTTCGATTAGCCATTTGGTATAGTTTCAACATGTTTTCATCTCTCCCAGCTTCATCCTGTTCGACCAAAGGTTAACTGTCACAGTTTTAGGAAGTTCCCGGGTTCCGACGGCTCTGCACCTCTTGTCCCATGTCTGATTCGAAGCCTCGACGACGGCATGATCCGGTTCCACGCTAGACTGGGCGAGCCATCGCAGCATCCGGCGACAACAAAGAGAAGTCTAGCACTAACGACCACCGCGAGAGATCACGGTGTTTCTAAGAGCAGAATTAGCCAATGAGGCATCAAATTACCAACCACGTGTTGAGGGCCAGCGCTGTCAAGCCTGGTTGTAGCTGAGCAAGCGACAAGCCAGGCTGCAGCACTGGATCTACCCCAGCTCTCACGGCGAGAGCAGTCGTTTCAGGTCAGTTCCTACTTAGCCTAGGCCAAATACTATGATCTCTCCTGCAGTGGTACTTTGTCCTGACACGGTTGAAGAATTACCTGGCGCACGAATGGCAAATACGAAATAGCTATGCACTGGCAGATATTGCCCACATCCATTCCCTGCGGCACGGAGTGATCCCGGCCCTCGTGCACGTGTAATCGAGCTGAGCCCGCTACATCTCTGGTTTGCCTTGCTGATGCCAGACTACATCGACGGCAAGTCTATACCATCTTCAGTTGCCAGAGATCATGCCGACATGGAGGGGCAGTGAAACACAGCACTGGTGCGGCCGGTCCCAAGAGTCCGATTGGGATACTGTATGTGGCTGGTATTAGGGGTCTCATTCAAGCCACGAGCACGGTAAGTTGCGAACACCCGTCTTACGCTAGCTGCTGAAAATTGGTGCTAGATCGAGTGTATCCAATAGCAAATTGCTTTGGTCGTGTCCCAATGCAGACGGCGATTAAAGGCTGCCAACGTGGCCAAAAAGATAAAGAAGCCGGCAGGTATGTTCTCCTCACTATGATGGTTTGGAATCCAACTAGGCATTTTATCAGGTCGCTGTGATGAAGTTTGTTATATTTCCCGATGCCACGCTCAATACTGCCGCAGAATGCCTTCTCATTCACGACCGAGGGGCAGGGACTCGCGGGCAGAAGCAGCATCGCAAATAACGGCCAGTCAATTAGCATGACCGTTACAATTGCCCATTGTGTATCGGAAAGATGTCAGATCGGCTTGGATTACTAGTGTAGAAGATGTGCTTGTTGAGTTCGAATGTAGCCGCTGATGTTCTTTCACTGTGGGCATGGGCATGGGCTTTTCACATGTGCCCTACGCGACGCGCTGCGACGCGTCAGTGCACTGCCTGGTCGCCTTTAGCACGCGTCCGATTAACGCCGGTTGCTAAGCTGAGTCGACATCCCTAAACGACTCCGGCAAAGTGGTTCATTATAACCACGAAGAGGCTCGAGGAGTAAAAATCAACCATAGAGAAACGGGAAATGGCTCGGAAAAATCAAGCGAGTTGTGCTTTCGAGGGCGAACTACATGGGTGAGATTGTTCTGATGAAAGTTCATCTGAATGTACCCTGCGAGAATCGAACTCGAGCCGTTATCAAAAAGCACGTGTGGCAAGTTCCATTGGGCCAAAGAGGCAGAGGTGTTTCCGGCGTGAAAATCGCTTGACTATCAACGTCATCTTTTGGAATATCATGCCAAACGTCGTACCGCGCCAGCGCCCAGCCAGGTCGGCGTGTTAACCTCCAGGTGAGTTTTACTATTTGGTTATACCAACAGAAAATTGGGCTTTTCATTATTGATACTCTGATGGTTCGTTTCATGTTTTGCCACCCATCATGGATCGAGTAGAGCGGGTCCCGAGATATATATATCTTGGAAATCAATTCGATAAATGACGAGCTTACCTTAGATATTGAATGTCGCCAAAGAGCACGCGACAAAGTTGGAACCGAGAGAATTTCGCACAGAAAAGCGAGTGGATTACAGATACATAGGGATACAATTTACCGGATACCCAAAAAGTGTTTGAATTTGTTGTGATATGAGGCTGGTGTAGATCAGGAACCAAGCCGAAACCATCGGAATTAATCCCGATGTATCTATACGAAGAATCAAGTTGATTTCCAATCAACTTGCTCTTCTCGTTGTATATATAGCCTAATGTTTCCCTTTGAACAATAAGACAATTGATACCTCTGAACTACAACAGAATTAGCAAATCAAGTTGATTGTACCATCACGCAAGCCCTAGCTCATACTCGAGTGTTTTCAGAAAAGACCACATATACTGTGCATTGAATACACTGCAATTGTTGTGCCACCAGATTGATACTGATGCACTGCATCATTTCGCACTGTATATCAGCTTTTGAATTTTTAGTGAGGGAACGAAGATCAGCGCTATGCGGCGATGGGTGGTCACTGGTGGCGGCCAACTCACCGCTCGGCAATCGCGCCGCGCTGCACATCAAGATGTGAACTCACTGGTCCGGCCCCGTTATCACCAATCCTCACTCACCTCCAACCTTAACTCACCTCCAGCCCTCACCATCAACACACCCTCAATCACCCTATCCCTCATCCCCAACTGTTACCCTCAACACGCACCGTCCTCGATGTCCAAAATACTCGCCTCTCCGGACAAATTCTACCGCCACTCCTAGGCAAGACACTAGCATTCACACCAATGGAGACTACTTTGGATTGCAGCCGTCGCCCATATTGGCCACCACGTTATCATACACCTAGATCTCAACCGGCTCTATGACCCGATGCTCTAATTTACACTATATGAAAGAAAATGCCCATTATCGAAACTCAGGGCGTGATTTAAGGCTACAAAATACCCTACGTGGACAAGGAACATGAATAGTGAACTCTACAAACAAGCTGAGTGGCATAACACACAAAGTCCCCTTGGAGGATTCTTGATTTCTATGGATTCTTTGGAGCAGGTCTTGGCTTCTTCGAGATCTGATGGGCCCGAATACTAGTCTCTGACACCACGAAGAGGTGCCTTCATGTGGCCAGAGGACCAGGACAAGAACCGAGGCGCCACGGGTCGCCTCAACGAGCAAAACTTGATAACGCAGGGCTCAAGGCTGCATGGAAGCTCAACATTATACAACCACAGGGCCCATTGCTGCGAGGGGTAACTTAGTAACGCAGCACTCTCCTGCGGGTAGATGTATTTTTTTTTTCCATCACAGATCCCAACTGCGGAGTTCACTTCATGACGCAGCGCCCCCCCCTGCGAGGCACGCTTGGTGATGCGGAGCCCAACCAGCGAAGAACACTTGGTAAAGCAGAGCTTATCCTGTGAAGAACACCCGAGTGGCCTCGGTGTTTGAGGAGGAAAGTCCTGCTTTTCTTTTCTACGGGCAAGGTGCGTTTATTATGCCATTTAGGGTACATTTTTCGGCAGCGACCACTTGCGTACATCTTGCCGGACCCAGAGATTTTCACCCGACATTCGTACCGGGCGGCCGCATTTTCGCAGGGCGTTGAGTCGGTTGATTCGGCGTTGGAAAACAAAATTTCAAGAGTTCGGCCTGGCACATCGCATCATTGATTGACTTTGAATGGGCCTGCGTTTTACCGATTGAACTACAAACACCACCCTACTGGTTGACTGGTCGACCTATCGATGACATTGAGGATGGGGAGCATCTCCAAGATTTTTCAAAAATAATGACTGAGTTCATAGATGCGTTTGCAGCACAGGAACAAAAACTCCGGAATTCTGTGCCCGCCCAAGCCGAAATCATGAGAAAATGGTGGGAGAAAGGAAGCTTCTGGTATTTTCAAGCGCTGCACAGCCCGACGGGTCTCCTTCGTGTATTCAACGGGCATATCTAGCGCATCTTTTGTGAGGATCATTGCACCCAGCGAGTCTTTGACCGGACAGTCAGTCCTTATTGGGCCCCGGGGACCGACGAAATCATCAAATTGAAAGTGAGACGAGAGGCGGAGTATAAGGATCAAACAAGGAGGCGATTCAGAGAAGATGATCAAACATATGCTTTCGTGTAATTTCACTATGACGAGCATGTCCATTCAATCGCCATCTTGGTCTCTGAATTATCACGATGTTTGTCGTTTATGTGAGCGCCTTTTGCTTAGTCTTTCTTATTCGTTTGTCTCTTTTTTTGTGCCTCCGACCCGGAAGATATGACTTGACCAATGTTTGGATTGTTGGCGATTTGCTGAGAGGGCATTTCAATGTCCTTTTTCCCTCGAGCTCTGCGAGCTTCTTCTCCAGACGACATAGACATATTGATGAGCTGATTTTGTTCTATCCTCTTAGAATCAGAGTCATCTTTTTCCTTTTGATCACTCATTTCGGCTCTTTCTTTTGCGGCTGAGAATTTCAGGGAACCTGAAAGAATAGATGTTAGAGAAGACATAAGGGGAGGTGCGGCAAACGGTGATCGAGAAGCGGGGTTGAAATGGCGTCATGCCTTTTCAGTCTTTATGCGCCTTGAGAAGCCTAGAGTCACTTGTACTAATGGGAATTAATTCTTGGTTGGACATTGCTTCCGCTCTCTTTCGGGGCAAGGGGGCGGAGAGGGCCAGGATAGCGAGTAGCCAATTGAACACGACATTCTCTTCCGTTGGCGGGCGGCCCGTGCCTAGACGATGAGCCAATTGTGGCCCTGTTGAACTGAACAGCTCAATCCCTGCAGTGTACAGGAGTTACGTGGTGGCGCTTATGATACAGACTAGCAAAAGGAAAACGGTATTGACCAGTATTGAGAAACCCGATTTGGTTGATTAATTGATAACCCAACTTGCCTCAGAACGCTGTTGAGGGTTACCTCTACTAGTGGGAATCTGTTTTCAATTCGGAACATAAGTTGTTCGAACGGAGCTGAACCAGTCTGATACTAGTGGTAATATACCACTCCTCAGATCGACAATCTGCTAACCCTGTTTCCAGCGCCGCGCAGTTCGATCTATGAGAACAACGTTTCAGTCACATGTGACACCTGAAACCATAGCCACATTCCAAATACCGGAACTGGCCAATAATAAATGGCTTGCTAGCGGGGCTATCTTCGGCATTTTTCATTACGAAGGACGTATCTCTCCCCTACCCCGGCTCAAATCATGCTCGACATTCCAAAATCGTCCTCTATTTCCACTATCCCATCGCAATGAGACACCATATTCTGAGAATCGACGTCAGAGACATAGTTTTAATCATAAATGTGCTTTCAAGGGCATGTGATAAAGCAAAGAAATCAAGAACCAATCTTGCTGAGGTCCAATCTTCTGATCCAAGCGTCCGTTTCCATGAAATGCGAGCTCGATCCTGTTGCGTATTCTAATATATTTTAGTTTCTTCTCTCGATAAAGAAGCTCTCTGGACTTTTTGCCAGCCCGGAATCTTCAGAAGACGAAGTGACAGCAGACGAGACGGCAGCGAACCATACCTCAGCGACCGGGACCGCAGTGAACGAAATTGCAACGACTAATACTCCAGCGCCTAATGCCTTAGCGTCCAATACCTCAGCGTCCAATACCCCAGCGTCCAATACCCCAGCGTCCAATACCCCAGCGTCCAATACCCCAGCGTCCAATACCTCAGAGACCGATATCCCAGCGACCGAGACAGTATCAAGTGATACAGCCAATTCTCTCCGCAGGAAGAAACGGAAGCTTCCAAAGAACGTCCTTACGCCTGAGATTGTGAAAGATTGGATAGACAATCCACTTTCGTTCTTCTCGAAAGATATTAAACTCTGTCTGGATGAAGATCCTGTGGCACATGCGTGCGGTTATCTCAGCCACATTGGCAATAGAAGTGAAGATCTTGATCTGGCCCGTCAAAGATTTTTGAAAGTGACTCTTCATCGTCTGAGGCAAAGATTGGGAGTGGAACGACTCCGTTCGGGTCGTGTCGACCGTTTAGCCAACTTTTATAATCACTTTGGCCATACTGAACCGGCCAAGAAGGAAGAAATTGCAAAATGGCTCGACGAAGGAAGTAGACTGGATTCGATTTGTCAAGAACTTGAAGAAAATCAGCCCTGCGGCTACTCCTACTTGAGCAACCTGTTCTATATGAACGATATCACTGACAGGCGGTGAGTTGTTTTCTATCAAAGTCCATGACGAACGTGATTAATTGTGTTAAAAGAATCTCAAGGATAAACCTGAAAGGTAGCAACAAGCGTCCAGAACAGATCAAAAACCTCAGATTTGACATGAACAGTACCACTATTGATGGCGATAAACTTAAGGCTTTCACAGTATTACTGATGGATACATTATGGGAACCCATCAATAACTCAATTGCGTGTTTCCCGTCGCTCCGGGGGACAGAAACACCAGTCTTTCAAGTTTATCAAAATGATGGTACATCAGATTTACCACAAAATGCCGAAACGGCCGTTTTTACTGAACATGGACAATCGAGTTCTAACACCATTTCCCTGCATGACAGGAATATTGGACCTTACGATGATGCCATCCAGAGGGGATCGTCCAACGAGATTTTTCATCAAACTCATGGCAATTATGTACCATTGTGGAATCATTCGCAAAGGATCTGGGACGCTTTGGAATCGAATGGCGGCATACCTCCCACCTCTGGGCTGTCGCAGACAGCTGATGGGGAGTGGGAGATGCATGTCGGACCGAATGCCAGTGTGGTGAATGAGCATATTCTAGCTCCAATGGTTGGGCTGTCAGAAACAGCTACTGAGGAATGGGAGATGCATGTTGGACCAAACGCCAGCGTGGTGAATGAGCAATTCTTAGCTCCAATGGCTGGGCTATCACATACAGCTGTTGAGGAGTGGGAGATGCATGTTGGGCCGAATGCCAGCGTGGTAAATGAGCAACTCTTAGCTCCAACAGCTGGCTTACCAGGTGAAGGGTGGAATGGATTGGACGTTTATAGACCAGTGTCCGTGTATGAGTTTAATGATTCAACTCGCAGATTTAGTGTTCCCGCTGTTTAATAGCATGGCCTATCCATACCTACGGGGAAGTTCACAAAGTCGTGTTGTGTTGTCTTGAGCAAAATGGTCTATCATAACGGTATAAGAAAAATGGCAGCAGCCCTGGGGCTGAGAACAGGCTGACCAATGACCCGAGCATAATTTCCTTGCTGCACTTCGCCTCCGGGTGTAAGGTTGATATTCGTTGATAATGGAATTAGATACCCATATTCTCGGTCGTAGATAAGTTTGCCCGATTTCCGCCAATATATCAGTTCCCACCTCCATTTCTGATCGGGTGAAATGATTAGATCAGTGAAGAATGACTCGATAAAGAGGGCTTACAGTCCCGATTGCCATTTTGAAAGTGAAGAGCGAAATTTTGGCTTCCAATACATCCCCAGTATAATTCTTTCTCCCATGTGTATCTTCCGTGAATTGTGGAGCTTCCTGCGGTTGATTTGAAATAGTAGTTTCGGGTATCATCTCTCTGATTTCGACTCGGATCGCTTCTGCTAGAGGTGGTAGTTCACATATTTCGATGCAGACATCCTCTGCTGCCGGGGGCTGTTCGCCTGGCTCCATAGCTCAGGCAGATCTATTGATAATCATTTTAGTGAGTTCAATACTCTAGCATGAAGATAGGATGCACACACGTTGGTCAATTTACACGATAGTTGAGGATATGTTACCTGAGGGGCAGTGAGGGGTAGAAAGATGGCAAGTTGGGCTGATATCTGACACGTGATCTAATCAAGGCGGATCGGCAGAATTATTGACCGAACTCGCAACGCAATTTGCGCCAACACAAAGTCTACGCTTGCCCAAGATGGAGTTAGTTTAACTCATGCTAATCCCTTTGTGGGAGTACGCTAGGGATATCAGGAAGAGGCTGGCCAGTCAGATGAGCCAACATACAAATGTTCTGCTTGCTGCTCGGCCATGAAAATGTCGTTTCCCTTAGCATAAATACTAGAGAGTAAAGCATCGTGACAAACTTATGCTTTCCAGGTATTTTGTCGATATTAAATGTCATAGCCGGCTTATGTAAACTTAGCTTTTTTGATAACTAACTACCCTCTCATGATTTGCTAATAAGTTGATGATGATTAGCTCGCTCCACATGTATACCGCTATGCGGAAGTGCTGTCGGGCCCACCGGCAGATAGAAATGGTCACCAGCCCATATAACCCAGGGAGGCTCATTTGTGAGACTCCGTCTGGTCGCATCGAATGTCAAATGGAAACACGATAAAGAAAATAAACGCATAGGCGCGTGGAGGACCTGAGTTGAATCAAAATGAACCTCTGGTCTTCACCGCCTTCGCGGGGACTCCTTCACCCCAATCTCTCCGCAATCCTGCAATCTTCTCGACTGTCGGCAGCCGCTTGCGCGCTCGTTCGAATCGAGTGAGTGAAGGAACCTGGTACTGCACACCTGACGGGCAACATTTTTCTCCTTCTGTAACACTGTCTTCAGGGGTCATTCTTTCTCCTTCGCCTCATCCGTTCCAAGGGTAATAGGGTCAACCATTTGGAATTGGCTCATGAGGCCTGTTTGACCATGAATCCGGCCTCAGTCCCGTACGTGCTTCTGGTCGTATCAGCATTTCGTCCCGTCGGAGAGGGATCACCTGTGTGGACAGGTCGTTACGCATCCAGTCTCGCGCCTCAATGAAACAACGGGCATTCAAGCAAGACATGAGGCATTGTCTGATTGTCTAAGTTGCGGTCTCACCGTGCGGACTCTTCTCGGTTGATACGAGACAGATAGTCACCTGAGACCTATGCGCCCAGTGCGCAATTGCATCAAGATCGACGCTGTTGCTTTACGTGTTGCTGACCAAATTTTCAGTGTCTTCTTTGTTGGCACATCGATCAACCGCTTAGCCCGCCGACCGGTCGTTTCCAATGCCCACGTTCTGTGCTACTCAGTCTCTGCCACGTTGCGAAACCGACACTTCTTCGCCGCTGCTAGGCGGATATACCGATTGCGAAAGTTTTGTACTTCGTTAGGTTCTTGGGCAGCATCTTTTGCGTCTTGATCCCATTAGATTCCTTAGTAAGTTAGAATACTCCAGAGGTGAGCTCGGATCCTCCAATCCGCCAGTTGGTGGATTAAGTCTAACATCCTGCGAGGTAGACTTGAACTGAAGGCATGCGTTGTCAGTGGAGTGGCTCCATTGCCGTCTTATTATTTGCAAATATGATCAGGCCGTTCTTTGCCTGTGCAACCCAGGGCTCGGTACCAACTGCAGTACCATCTTGATGGCACTAAGCTCCGCGACATACACGGTCGTTGTATTTTCGTCACCCATCTGGCTGTGGACCACGTGGTCCTCGAGATAAATCATTGCAGTAGGAATAATTATAGTCTTTGATGATAACGGAAGTTTGTCGTCTCCATTGCGTGACCAATTGATCCGGTTTTCCTTTTTGCTGTTTCATGGACCTGTCACAGCTCTTGCCGAGTTGATGGACTCAAAACATCATTTGGGAGGGCGTAGCCTTCCAAGATGCGAGAATTACTTCCTTTTGAGCGATAGCTTGCTTCGAATAAGCATGTCACGAGAACGCGAAAACTTCCATCAGAGAGAGGTCCTAGCGAAAATATCACGAACACGGGAATTCAGAACCGACAATTTGTTGCCCAGAGTAACTTTGAGCAAAAAATGAAAGTGGTTTCCAGGATAGTTTCAAACTCTCAAGCATTTAGTCGCCAGTTTCCGGGTGCTCCTCAATCACCAATACTTTTGGATGTTAGTTAACTCACGATGACGAGGAATGAGTAACCAACCGTAAATGGGAGTAAATATCTCACAGATATCCCTCATACGTTGCAAGAAGATAAGAGCAGTTTGCTATCTTATTCGATGCATCAAGTCCGTCATTGCAGGGCTTGCTGCAGGTTGCTCTCACGGAGCCAATTGCCAGAGTGATGACGAAGCCTAAGGCCATTTGGATACTATATTAATACGAAGCTTTACCCCGAAAAGACTCTTCACTCGCCATAATATTATTGCTTTCTAAATCACTCATAATGACACACATACTAATTGGAATTGGCGGAATACCAGCTCTATCCCACTCTGGCTCAGAGGCTTGCCTGCGCATGGGTATTGCCAAGAAGGGAATAGTCTCGGTGGGGATTGGAGCTCTTTTCCACTCTCGGCGATACTCTTGTCAATGCAAGACTAATTCCGAAAAGGGATTAGCCTCCGCAAGGGCAACATTTGTCGGAACAGAAATGTACGTCCAATCAGGTCCATGGGTAGTTGTCTGAATTGTTATGCCCGTACCCATACAAACTTGTATGGGTGTGAACATGACTAATCTCGGCTAGTCTATAAACAGGAAACTAATACACATCCTGACAATACTGAATCTCCACCGATACTGACAACATTCGTGCTAGTTTTATCTAATGTGAGAAGCACGTTAACGATCGATTTTTCTACTCTTCAACCAATTTCTTTTGTAACTAGTTATTTCCACGCTGATTTTACGTCACGGCCTCTTAATGCACTCTGGATTAAGATACTTGGACCTCCAGGATACTTTGCGGCACATTCTCCCAAGGGGCAGGTTGCAATTCAGCCAATCGGCTACTTAAGCCACGTTGCCTTGACTCTTCAATACGATACCTGGAACTGTTCGCAAGCAGCAGTGACATAGATTCCGGCCCCATTAGTGGGTAATGGGATCCATTGCGGGGAACAGCTTTGGCAATTTTTTTTTTTTGGAAAAATTAGACCTCTAAGTATAGCGAATGAATTGCTTGCTACCTAGGCCTTAATTATCTCCCCTGCTAACTTCCAACAGATTACGCATACAGCACTGACTCACTTGAATCACTTACTGTATAGTAGGTTACACAAAGCTATACCCCGTTGGCATTGCTATATACTAAGTACTTAGGTGAGCGAAACTCCGGTTTTGCAAAAGTACAACCAAATTACAAAGTCATTCTCTTGGACCTCTACGAGCACATCCACGAGAATCCACTACGCAAACTAGCTAGGGCCAGTTAATTAGCATCATGCTTGGTTTGCATAACTATTTGTTTCAATTTTCAATTTTCAGTTCGAAATGGTGATTATCGACCTGTAACTGGAAGGTCTTGGTTCCGAGAACAGTGCTAGATTCGGCCAATGGTTCCTGGGAATTGGGAGATGAAAACGCCAGAAAAGATGAAATCAGATTGTTTCAAATCAGGAATATTAGCTGAGCTCGCAAGAGAGCTTTTTTTCTTTCTTTTACAGTCATATACCGTAACCAAGCCACTCTTTGAGTTTAAAAAAAGCCAATGCGTTGGAGTTCTATCTTCACAGACCCGAGAATTATGAGTAATAAGACCAGTGTACCCCTGTACAGCAAAGATATTACGGATGTGATTTGACCGAAAAAAATCATCCTCACATCTTAAGATTAGTTTTCCCTTTGCTGGAGCTCCAAATGAACGATCCAATGCCCAAGAGGAAAATTGCCATCGTCGTAGCATCACCGCTAGACGAAACCGAGAACCTCCACGAAATGGAAACGGAGACATTATCTGTGAGCACGCTAAATGCCAAGATATTCCGCCAATATTCCGCGTTCCATACCAATGGAAGTATGTATTAAGATACCCTAAGGAGTCCCAGCCTTCTAAACTGACAATTGAATCAGTAAACATATGGACAGACATGAGCGACCTTACAAATGTCTTGAATCCGGTTGTGAGGAGGACCAAGGCTTTGGTTCGACTGGTGACTATCAGCGGCATATACGAGAAGTCCACAATAGCGGCCAAAGGCCCAGGTATTCTGAATTTTATCCATATGAGAGATGTCGTCACCATGTTTTCAAGCCTTTCCCGAGAGCCGAGAACTTGCGAGATTATATATGGCGTATGCATAAATCGGAGCCCAACAGCTACCTCGAATTAAGGGGAAACGTATCTGCCGAGCCTAGTACCCAAAAGAACGCTTCTCTCGGACCGTACAACGTTCGCGATCCAGCCACATGTCTTTCTGGGGGCAATACTCTACAAAAGGAGGCAGAATCTCTTCGCAAAATTATCACGGAAAAAGACCGACCTATTCAGTAGCTTGAGCGACAGAAAGTGGAATTGGAAGCAATGAATCACGGTCTCCAGGACTAGATCATCGCTTCTGTTCCCCCGAGAAAGAGCTGTTACTTAGGAATCATACTAATTCTATGTCGCTAAATGCAATCCCCGCGTTTATTCCAAAAAATAGGTAACCAATTGAGGGTTGGTAATTTCCATAAATGTTATTTTGTAACACTAGTTTGACGGGTCTATGGCAGCGAAATTCCAAGGCCTATCCAGATTATTTCATATACTTGCATCAAGGGTGAGAGTTATAGTAAACTCATAGATTGGTTCTGGGGCTTGAAAGCGTAATTTCATTTGCAGTAAGCGCAGAATTGGATGTATATTTAGGATAGTAGCCTCGGACCACCTTTCTGTACCTGGGGCCTTCCTCATTTAAAACAGTGAGTTGCCCAGACCCCCTCTATTCTTCCCACCAGGTCAGAAAGCAAGTTATGGCTAGGTATGCTTCCGATTAAAGTATGGTTTCCAATTTACCAAAGACTGAAGATCTCATAGAGCACTCCTTTAAATATAAACAGTTCCGTCCACCGGCTCCCTGCCACTGCTATTCACAATCCAAACCTATCCACAAACAGAACAATGAGTATCTCAGCAATATTTATTTCAGCAAGGCTTGCTCTAGGGCAGCTGAGCCTTTATCTGGTATGTAATGAAATGCCCTTTGGATGGTCTTCTTTGACTAAAACGTCTAGATCAACAATGGATCAGACAAGGCCATCTATCTCAAGAGTGCCACTATAAATCAGAAAGTCCAACAAAAGCTTCTTACAGGAAATGGGCATGCAATACACGAAATCAAAGTATCAGAGACAGCAAAGATGTTCGGTGGAGAAATTCAAATCGAGAAAACGGTCGTGACTGTGAATAGCCCTGTGCGTTATTGAAACGTGGCGCAAGGCGCCCAAGTTCACATTTAATCTCGAATATGAACTCGATTACTTGGCCAGACGACACAAGAAGTGTCGGGATATATCCTCCCGTCAGAATAAGCAAAGACATGTTGTACGTAATCTTGCTAAGCTGCGGCTCCCACCGCATGGATTCAGGGGTATTTGGCCTTGACCGGACACACATCTATCATATACACGAATCAATCAACATTTGCTTTAGAAGCATAAACTGTTCACTTAACTGTGTACACAGGACCTAGCTGGTGATACCAACAAGAAGTTTTTCCGCTCATGCTGCCGGTGGCAAAGCTGCAGCCAAGACGAAATTCAATGTCTAAATCTGGAATTATGAGCGAGGTCGGTAATTAGCATAAATGAAATGATACCCTCTGGGACAGGAAGTCATCTATCAATCTACTATCATTCTCTTCCCTCTGTACTTGATATCACTCCATGGAGGTCACCAACCAATTCATCAACGAGAAGAAGCTTCAAATTGTCAATGGAGCTCGCAGCTACGGGTGGTTTATGTCACAAATTGACTGCCTCTTCTGGTCTGACACATTAAAATCGAAGCAAGCACTGCATCATATCTTGAGATACTATGAGCAGGCCGACCCCGATCTTCGCTTTGAGTGGGACAATTTTCTACAAAGCGACTGGACTCGTCGGTCTGCTCTCGCCCATTGGAAACTTTTTTCCGACTTCGATCAGACAGTGGAGAGTCAGGATTGCCTACAAAGCGAGCACGAACATCCCGATGTCGCTTCGTGTTGCGTTTATGAGTCTCCGGATTCCTTTCACTTTTTGATCCGACAAGGCATTATTCGGCCATGCTACTACAACAGCTTTGGGCACAGCCTGTTCCTTCTCGCCTTTCAGAAGAGAGCGATTGAAACGATTAATTACATGATATCCACAATGAGTCCAATGGATCTTCTTGCTCCTGCGTCGGTAGCAGAAATGTGGGATGGGAGGTCAATTATTCAACTCGCGGCGACGAACTCAGTTGTTTTCGGTATCTGTTGGGAAAAGATTGACCAAATGCTTTTGGATCTAGGAGAGATTCTCCAGGAAAGGGAAATCCGCGAAATTTGCCGATTTGCAAGCATGGGCCTAGCCTCTCGTTTGTATCAGAGAGGTATAGATCTTGCTGATGCCGTGAAGAAAGATTCTTCTCTTTGGCTTGAAATAATTATGTATCATGTCGACCCAACATCTTTTTTCGACTGGCTTTTTACGAAGAATTGCCTACCTCCACAAGACTTTCTTCTGTGTCATCCAGACCCCGATTCCGCTTTGGTCTGGCTTTTGGCAAACAATTTCCCCCTTCCATATCCTGGACATGGCCAAGCATTTCTTCGACAATTTGCGATCCGTTGTGGCAGCTTAGAAGTGGCACATTGGCTGTCCTTTGATGGGGCCATGACCGAGCCGACAAGTGAATTGTGATGGAAGTTGTGTCAGCAGCCGGAAGATAACATGCAATTCTGGAACATAAGATGCGCTGTATTAATCCAATGAATAGATAGTGCATTGGATCCCAGGATTTCGCGTATCTGTCATATGGAACCTTTTCCATCTATACCCATACTCCCCACCCCGATATCTCTTCTGTGGCTAGACTCTCGTTGAATCAGTCGGCCCTACCTTTCTGTCTATACTTTCCACAAAAGTCACCGAAGATCTAGGTATTTTTTGTGGCCACAAGGTTGCTTTGGTAGAATCCACGCAGCTCAGATATTGAATATTGTACATTCAGTGCTTCCCTGACAAATTCCCCAGCTTCAAATCATTGAAATACTTGTTCGAGTGTCTGTTGCATCAGATCTGCTTGGCCTTTTATCTCACTAGGTCAATGTCCCATCGTGGATAACGTTTTGAGACAAACAAAGCTCAGAGACAGCCTCGGGCTTCTAAAAGGACCAGTTGTGTAGTCAAAAACCCCCATACAAAATTACAAAAATAGCTATGGGGAATGTTTTACGTGATTAACGGCCAGGTGTGCAGCATCAACCGAATCATTCTTGCACAGTACGAATCAAGGAAGCTAGATCTCATACGGATTTGATCTTGTATATAAAAACACCTCCTGGCTCTCTTAGATTTTGTTACGATATAATTAGCTAGAAAGGCTTCTATCAATGCCCAAGAAGAATAACGCCATTCCTATTCCATTCCGGTATTGGCCGTTTATTGCTACGACTCCAACATGTACGATACCCTAAGAGAGTATTGCGTTCTAAAAGACGTAGCCAAGAACTCAGGGCTGGGGCTCGTCTGTGTTGCATGTGATCTGGGGTTTCGCGATCAGGATGTGCTATACAAGCATTTCGACGCTAAGGAGGATCAGAACGGCGTCCACAACGGATTGTCAAAAAGACAAAGTGATTTCATCCTATTTTTGGACAGCTATAGGGTCGCTATGGGCTGGGAAACCATCTCGGAAGGTGATTTCCCAATCGAATTCAGTCAGGCTGGGCGACGACCTGGACGCCGGCCATTCTACAGCTTCTTTGAAATCGATTTTGTCCTGGAAAAAAAAAGCAAGCTGAAATTCAACACCCTGGAGGAGAGCCTTGCAATTGCGTGGAAACTTGTCAGGAATGCTAAAAAGGATTATGTTTGTCCTCTCTGTTTGGTTCTCTGCAGCACTACAAAAGCGTTTTATTACCATTGCGACCAACTGAAGGATGATGTCCACACGGGCCTCGCGTACAAGGGTCCAGATTGCCAATCGTTTCTTCCTCATTATTTTACAGCCCTCAACGCAACAGTACCGGAGAAAGAATTGCCTTTGGGTAGGGGTCGAAAGGGTACATACTCATTTCATGAGTGCTTCCTGCTGGAGTTCGTCTTGCAATGGAAACAAGGTGAGTAGGCTCAAGAGACGAGTCAGTGGTTGGTCCTAACTATGCGACAGTGGATTTGACCCAAAACTTTGGAATATGACTTGTTACTGGCTCCGGACGATTAGTTACGATATCTTGAGCCCCACAATCACAAAATATAGGCATGGCGATCGTCGGTGACTAGCGATGCAGGGGCTGATGCTTGCAGGAGCTGGTGTTCGCCAGTCAGCCCCCGCAATGCGGCGTAATTAAAGAATTTTGTATTGTCATTTCGCTCTTCTAGATATTAGAAAAATTATCTTTGTGATCATCAGTCGCTTGATCCAGAGACTCTGGAAATCTGAGAATATCACTTTGGTAGACCGGGAATCCTTCTGCTGTCGGATCAAACTTTAAGCCGATAATTCTGAAAGTACAAATACTGCTCGCCTGGTTACGAAAAGTACTTCGTGGAATTCTCATTTATCATGTCTTTTACAACCCTGTCTATCGAAGAAGTCGATGTTTCCCTTTCCGCGCTCCTTGCCAAAAGCAACAACATTCAGAGAGTCAGTGGTGGAGCCATAATACTTGGCTTCCGTCTGGATGATCCATATTCTCCACACGTCCTACTCTGCCAACGCTCTCCCAACGGGAGAGATGACGATGGAGAGCCGAAAATGAATTCTTTTCCTGGTACATGGGAGAGCCCTGGAGGTGGTGCACTGCCGGAAGACAGGAGCATTTTGGAAACCATGGTACGCGAGACTGCTGAGGAAACTGGATTGGTGCTCTGGGCGGCTTCCAATCGGGTCTACTGTGTTACATTCCGCCATAAAGATATTTGGATGGCAAAATATTTGGCCATTGCAGAGACTAGCGAGAAAACCAACTGTGGACGTTTGTGGTCCGATGAACATGATGGGCCTCGTGGCTCGGATGAAAACCCAATCCGGCTGAGGGACGACGAACACCTCGACTACGTTTGGGCCACAGAACAGCAAGTTCGAAACCCCGTGATTTACGAACCGAGCGATGCAAACAAAACAGGGCTTGCCATGATGCAAAGCAACAAAGATGTTCTCCTGGACTTTTTCTCGTGGCTGAAGGAAGATGACCCTTGCATGGCGTACCCTCTGCCCGAGCTGCCACTGAAGAGCGATCGAGAATAGCATCTGATTCGACATACCCGCTGGATACAATTGGCAACTGTTTGAATTATGGGCGATACTCTTGAGCTCAGGGTATACTCATGGGTTGTGACCGCTTTAGCGTCAATAAACCAGCGAGGTAGTCTTGTGGGATATGAGGAGCAGAGGCATGTTCATGAAGAATCAAATTTGCGGACCGCGATTTCTTGCTAGCTACGCGCCACCAATACTTTCATTGACTTTCTGGTAGATCTAAGCATAGCAAGTAGATTACACAAATCCTGGGAATGAAAACCCCTTTCCAGAAAAAACCTTTTAAAATGGACAAATTCTAGATCGTCAAGCATCGTAGAATTCGAGGGAGGGATAATTCGTGCTACTTCGGTAGACGCATTCTCTCGTCATAGCTGATCATTGACCAGTAGCCCGCGAAGATTAAATCTCTGTATAGGTGTGTCTAAATTATAAAGCAAGCAATTCCTTGTCTACAGGAATCATTAGATAAAGGGTCATCTCCTTTGCCCAGTCACCAAAACCATGCAACGCGCACCGGAGGCTAAAGTATATGCATCCGCACGATATACATATAGCAGGTAGGCCTGTCCTGTGTTGACTCACCAATGCAGCTAATAATGGAGAAGTCTTCGTTTTGACGTGATTGAGATATGTGGCAGATTCTTTGTCTGGCCTAAATCGGGCTTTCATACCCAATGTCAACGTACGTTGGTTGGGTATCCAGCGGACCGACTTCTCGCCCGCACAGGTTTTCTCGTGATTATGAAAATGCCGGATCATGATATTCATTGCGAGGAAGACCTAAGCTACCTCTTACATATCATGCACAGAAGGTTAAATAGGCCAGATGTCGGTGGTACCGATGAAGGATATTTTATTCAGCTTGCCATGGGCTTTGGAGAAAATTATCACATGGTGTCACGCGCGGGTGATACGTATGAGGCTTCACCAGTCATGTCCCGTGTCGAGGTGCGACTGCAAGACATTCAGCTAGTGTATCCTGGAATCTGGAGGGTCACGGCGTTGCGGCTGTTTGCCCTGGGTTGTGTGACTAAACAGGGAAGCTTAGCTGAGCTAGCTGGAGTTTTTCAGGCTAAACCAGCAATGAACGATACTCGGCCCCCCCCCACGGCTGAAAATAGAAAATAAAAGTACATGGAAGAATCGGATCTCATAGAAGACAAGATCCTTTACCCTATTTCGACTCGGCTACAAGACTAGAGGTACACTAAGCTCGTTGTATTATAAAGCTCCGGTGGCCCAGGTCCAGAATTGAAAGATTACTGCCGGTTGACTGTTAATTCGCTGCTACTTGTGACTTAAAGAATTGCACGGCCACGCACAACGCCAACCTGGCAAAAGAGCCAGGCCTCTGCTTTCCAGAACGAGGGAAGTTGCCTGCCTGCCGTGTCGACGACGGAAAATTCGTTGCCGGGGTAAAGGTGCTCCTTGTGGAACATGTACGTCTCGCAAGGTTGTCTGATTTTCCATCAATATCCCGATGTCGCACTTCTGTCATGGCTTTCCCTTCTTTTCGGCGTTCTGGTGCTGGCAGGCAAGCGGAGGAACACCCAGACAAAATTTCCCTTTGTAGCGTCTTGTCAAAGCGCGGACGTCATAGACCGCGATCCGTGCTGCGGTCGGTCCCAAACTTGCGATGAACATCGGAATATCTGGAGTAGTCACCAGCAAGTATATGGCAATACCACCGAGCAAGAATTCTTTCGAAGTAGAGGGCAATTGGTCAGTGCCCACTGCCATAATTCTATTAGAATTTCTAGGCTGATAATGCAAACATAGAAGCCTTCGCCATTGGAAGATCAATCCACCTTATTTCATTTCAAGCTACTCGAAGTGCCAGACAACATTATGTACAGTACACGATACGGCCTCTTCTCAACATGACCCTGTTCGGACTTGCTAGTCAGTTGTCTTACGTCGGATCGTCTCTCACCGAGTTCTCTAAGATTCACAATTTAAAAAATTTAAAAAAAATCGGGCTGTACAATTAGATATTTTGAAATATACAAATATACATTTCACTATCTCTTCTCTGTGCTTATATGTCATTCTTAGAGAAGTGTCTTCACGAAGATACCACACTGCATACGTGGTGTTACGCAGCCAGGTGCGTCGAGAGTGCTGAAGTCATTCGCAGAATATCCCAGTATTGGATCGACGGTCAGAGCTGAAAGGCCTTTGAGTGGTATTTCCGAGTGTTTGGGAAGTGTTATGCTGTTGCGGCGGAGAGGACTCTACGCCAAGTGAAGGGTGATGGAGATGAAGTGATTGGGCTCGGATGAGAATGACAATGCGGTACTGTAATAGTTCCTACGACTGAAAGACTTTTAATTGATCTTTAAGTTATGATATGAGATCTGGTTAAGCAACAATTCATTATACCAGACTCGCATATCTTCTTAATCTCTGAACACGAAACATCATCAGCCGTTAGATTTAGTAGAGATGTCACGGCCGAATAACGACCATTCAAGACTTTTCTTTTGGTTCTCTTGTAAAGAGTACGATAACTGAACAAAAACTCGTATTGCATCAGGAGGCTAAATGGAGGCCACCCGTTGTTACAAATCCAATAGAGGGCATGTTCTTATGTTCTTGCAATTGGAGATATATTTAGAGGTCTCTATTGAAATAAGTTCCGCATTAATGGAATCTCTTTCTTGAGATAGCCTCATTATTCTATTCTTAATCCCCCCCCCCATGTCGAGCAACAAAAGAAAGGCTGTCATATTGGTAGGCATGCTAAAACAGCCGGACAAAAGCTTCGTTTGTCCAGCGTGTTTCAAGTCATACTCCCGAATGAGCGACTTGAGAAATCATCTCAAACAATTGAAGGACGCGGAAGATCATAGAGGTCTTTCGGAGAGGGAGGAATCCGAATTTCGACGCAGCTACGCGAAGATAATCGGGTGGAAGCCAACAGACAAGGAGGCAGAGCTGGAGCTTCCACGCGAACGATTCGCTGCTTTTACACGAGACGTTGTCGTTGAGAAAATAGCCTCCCAGACAAAGGACCTTTTACAATCAAAGATCCAGATATATCTGCAAATTGCTCTGTCCTCCGGAATGGCCCACGTGTGTCCCGAATGTGTTGACCAGGACTTGCGGTATTTCAACAAGATGGTCGATTTCGATGCCCATTGTTGGGAAAGAAACGACCAAACACACATGGGCCTGTTATCGAAGACCCCGGCAGACTTTCTTCCTGCCTACCTCCAAGCAATGGGGCTCCCCCACATCGAAGATTTGCCCCCTGGAAGCGATAAACCGGGTCGCTGGACCAATGAACGATATTTGAAGACAGCTTATGTCTTCCAAACAAAGAAAAGGTACTACAAGAAAGAGAGAAAAAACATGCAAGCTCAATACTAAGCATGCACGACCTAGGTTTGTTGCGCCGGAAATTGGAGCTGCCCAGGAGCAGGCTATTATTTAATCGAGATGGGTTGTTATTCGTGTATCCAGGACTGCAAATACAGGGATGTGTGATTGAGCTATTCTAGCATCTGAAGCACGCAGTCAAAATGGCCAAGAAACTAGATTTTGGAGGCGAATCCTCCTTCGCCCGCATGCAGTCCATATACCCATAGGTTTCCGGCATAACCATATGATTCACGTGTTTTTCGCACGTTGGACAGCGATGAGTTTCGATGTAAAGTGAAAGATCCCTTGTAACCACTTCTGCGTAAGTCAAATCTTTCCGCGCGAATGCGGACAATGCAGGTAAAAGAAAATCCAACGCATGGCTCCCGCCCATGCCGCTGCGATAAGCTTGATAGCCACCAGTGGGGTCGATAAGCTTGCCGTACTTGCGCGAGCATTCTGTTTGTAAGCCGCTCGCTTGTATACCTTGCACTACAGCTGTCAAGGAATAGTAGTTGCAAGTAGTGTGGAGGGCCTGAAAAGGTCTGTCAGAATTGATATTGAAGTTGAGACGGTTCCAGCATACCTGAGCAAGACCATCAATTTTAGATTCCAGCCCAATCCCAGCAGCCATGCACTCTTTCACCTCCACCATCAGCTGATTCCACCGGGAGCTCAAGATGGAACGCGCTTGGGCTCCATCTTTGGTGAAGGCGATCGGCACATAATCTCTGAAGAGAGCCATATCTTTGCGTGATATGAGGCTCGCAAGAGCTGGAACGTCGTTCCATCGCAATTGCTCCAGAAAATCGTTTCTGTTGTTGAGCGGCGTGCTCCAGTCTGCCTCAAGTGGCCTCAAAGAATCGTGCAAACGGATGCCCAAAACCTGCAAGTCCTGCAATAACCTTTCCGCCGAGTCTGCTCTCTCAAGAACCTCTTGGAGGGGTCGGGTTATAAATTTGTCAAGAGTTGCTTCTAACCTGAAGGCTAATCCGCCTACTCCGGTTCCGTTCAGGCCCTCATATGCCGGGCATTGGAGTACTGCTCGGCTGGCCTCTTGCCAAGTGTACTCAATGGTGGCATAGATTAGAGGGTCACTTTTAAGCTTTGCCAGGCTCTATTCATGGTTAGAAAATTCATTGATAGGCGGCGCAGACTGTAAACGTGAGTTACCTGTTTGAGATCATGCAATTGGTTCAGATGCTGCGGGGACTTGATCAAGTCAAAATAAAGCTTGGCATCAAGAACTTCATATGTCCAGAGGGATGTCTTGATCTGGTCAGAGGGTCGATCCAAAGCTTTCTGAATGAAGTTGCCGTAAGAGATCTGCTGCAATTTCTCGAGGCTTCTTTGGGAGAGGTCACAAGCGACCTTGGAAGGGCCTTTGTTCAAGATTTCATCCAGCCCTATTTCCCAAAGCTTTTCACGTGAAATAGGGTTTTCCGCTCTAGGAGAAGTGCTCTGTACTCCGGACGAAGAGATAACACTAGTAGCGAGATCAAAACAGTGCAATCGATGTTTGTCAGTCTCACGGTTGAGAAGTTGTTGGAATTCGTTCTTGCGCCAATCTCTCTTTTTGGTTTGAAGATTTTCTATCTCTCGGTCGGTGGCATCGCTTGGATCATTCATGGAGACCTCGTGCTCTGTAGACGCGGTGCTAAAGGATGAAGAAGGTGCTTTGTGGATGGCTGTAGTGCCATCTCAGTTAGTAAGGCATAAAAAATTGCCTGGTGATAGGGATGGAATAAACCTTTCTGACTGCCATCGCTCATCTGCGATTTCCCGTCCATTTTGATCGAAGAAAATTGGGAATCAATCATCAGCCAGTGCCAGGCGACGAGGCTATAGATATATAAATCCGCAGACGTTATGCATCATTTGCATGATCGCTGACCCCGTGCACCCGAGGTGGTTTGCCGATCGAGAGCTGTCTGAGCCCCTGGGCCTCCAACACAGCTCCCAGGAATACTGCTATCACCTCTTTTGGTATTAGGATGGCGCACATCGTCGAAGGTCTAGATCTGTAGGTTGGCTGGGATTGGATTGATGGGTTTATTCGGCTGCATTCTGAATGCGCAAGGATCATCGGGCTCCACAATGCGGTTCCTGGGAATGTAAAAATACCAAGTGATTACAGGTAGCTTTCAATACATCGTAATTTTTTGAATCAAATCTACTCAAGCGCCGCAATAAGAATTCCAGGGACAAGGCGATGTGGACAGAATGGTGACCTCGTTTCTGAACGTGACGCCTAAATTACAACTATTCTCATAAGCCGGCAGCAATACCGCACAAAACCGTTATAAAAATCAACGTATCAATGTATCGGATTAATGAACTCTACATTCATGACCGTTTTCCTGTGAATTGCCAATATTCCGGAGAATTGGGAAGAAAAGTTCGAAGGCTCTTTACAGTATAGCTCGATTAACACCTGCACTTCCACCCTGGGTTTCTCCACAACATCAAAAGATCTGTAAGAGTTTTAGATGATCTCGAGGGCCTTTTGATCTACTTGAACGAGTATTCATTTCAAAAAAAGTGGATTAAGGAAGCTGGGTCCAGGTTTCCATCGGCAAGCTTGCCACCATCCATCTGATGGAGGTGAACGCCATGCGAATCATCCTCGTTGGTAACGCTACCGTTGAGTACTAACGAACTCTCGCCCACCGTTCTGGATGAACTGTGAGCAGTGTACCTGGCGTCTCTTTCTGCCCCGTGAGAGCGATCGTATTCGATATTCGAGAAAGGAGGCCGATCTAATTCAGGTGTGTTAGAACTCAGTTAGGCAGGGACTGAAAAATTCCCCAAGATAAGCAAGCATCGACTACCTCGCTCGCTCGTCCCCGGACGGCATCGGAAGAAGAATTTTTCGTCGTAGTAAAGTCAGTTTTGTTAAAGACTTATAATTTCTTTTCTTCATTGCGGTGACTTACCTGTCCCTTCTGTAACCCTAATGATCGACATTATGCTTGCCACAAAACATTGGTAGAGGTTTCTTTTCGGGAAGACCCTTCTATGTCTGGTTTTTTGCAGCCTGGAAAAATTAGAGCCTATGGCCCTTGTCGCATTGACCGGGCGTCTTCGTGGCAATCCTCTTTGGAACGCACCTGGTTATATTCTCAACACGTGAATCTATCTAGAATGACCGAATCCGATCCACCAACCGAAACATGTAGCCCTAATTTCACCCAGGGAGACTTTCGGCGGTGTGCCTGGGTTTGTCCGTGCTGAGGATTAATCAGGGATCGAAGGTGTGGGGTCTGGGCTCGAAGAAGGTACGACAGGATCCGGCGAAGTTGGCCTTGTCTCTGAGCAAGTGATGTCTCACCATGGCCTCAGAGCACCCGCTTGGCTGGCGAAGCGGATCTGTTACCACTGATATCACCGATGGGAACAATGAAAAACTTAGATTAGCTTTCCCTAGGAGCAGCCTTTTCCTAAAGGAACTGGACCATCGTGGCCATGCTTCGACCGGCAGGCCTGGCCCGCATTTCCTATCTCAGCAAGGTTTGGATCATGCGAATCGTTGGTGCTTCTGTTCGAGCTACTCATGGGTTGAGTCTGGCTTTAAACCCTTGCTCCAGATCTTCTTACATTTTCCTCAATATTAACTTGAATTTTTCACTATCAAGGCGGCCGTTTCTTGTTCGAAATCACCGAGCTTCTCGATAACATGAACGTGACACCATTTACCAGCTCGAGAAAGTGGTATTTCTTCTGTCATCTTATTCTCTCTGCTTTTGCTGATGTACCACGCTAGGCCGGTGTCAAGGGCTCTGTGTCAAAGCGAAAGCTCACTAGCATGCAATAACAGCCAGTCCACCGGCATGCCCCGAGAAACCTCACATCGTCAACCCAGTCACAGAACGGTCCGATCGGTTGAGCAGTGTTGCAGGTCTCAGTGAAGCTGTCCCGGGCATAGAAACGCAGCGCTCCGCGCAACCCATTATTCCCACCAAGGACAAGGCACGCCGGGCTGCGGAACTCGCATTGCAATATTTCCAGCAGCACCTGGATAGACTCTCTACCTATGAGCTCAATTTTCTGTACCAACTTAGGCAGCGTCTTGAATGAATCTGCTAGGCCATCTCATCATCTCTGTGAGAACTGGGTGGGGAGCACTCGCAGTAGTCTAGGGGGGGGCACGTTGGTCATGGTAAGAATCTATCACAAGGCTGATGGAACATGGAGACCATGGCCTGCAGGCTTCGCAGAATCGTGTGAGAGTGTGGTATCATACTCGAGAACTAATTCGTATCTCTCCACACACTGGTAAGCATGTGGCGCTACTCCTGGGAGCCCGGAGCCCCCGAATGCCGATCCATAGTCTTGAAATGGCGTTGCCGCAGGACTGAATGCTAGGCACCGGCGCAGCCTATCTCAGGATAGAATAGATCGACTCTCTCGCCTCGCTCATGTGGAGGCACTTTCACTCTTCCAGTTGATCACTGAATATTACTTTGCCACTATGCGGGCGTATTCGGCATTGTATGCAGACTACTTTTATTGATCCCTTCTGGGATTAGATCCGTGTCCATCTAGCCTCCTTCGGATCTTGTGCTCAGGTGCCTGTCCAACGGAGGTCGGGGATCAGCGCTGATTTCTTTGCGAGTGCGTATGAACTATGCCCTGCAAGTCCGGCAAAGCCATTGCATTGCATTTTGTTCTAGACTCAGGACACTTTCCGAGTTGCCTTTCGACCAAATTATGCTTTAAGCTGCTCCCAATTCTATTTTTCTTGTCCGATCGCCTCTTATGTGCTGCATCTCCATTGTTATCTCATTTACCGATCCCCTACGATGGAAAGCCACCGGTCTTCGTGAGTTAGCACATAGTTCATGAGAGACCCCACGTGCAGAAGCTGAGATATGAACAGTGATCTTTGCTGCCGAAAAGCTCAGTGGGTGGCAAGCAGTCAGCCAAACATTGTCAATTCCTCGTACTCGCAAAAAGGCTTGCTGGTTCTCGGTCTCGGTCGATTCTTTTAGACAGATGGCCACGACATAGGCTCACATACATGAGTATTATTTCAGTCAAGTATCAATTTTTCATGGCTAGAATGGATGGAAAAATCATGTGCACTGTGACCTGATGGAATATTAGTACTTCTCAATGCTACCGCCATTAGATGCATTAGAGAATATGAGGGTCAACGTTCGAAATCTTTCCGCTGTGTAAAGATGGTACAACCCGCAAACATATGTAAAATGAAACGAGTCAGACCCGGTGCACTGTCGGACTTCCGACCTGGAATGGTTTTAGCGTACCTTGTTAAACTTCAGTTTGGATAACCCCGGTAGATTGAGCGGGAGAGAGAATGATTTTTGAGCTAGGAGAGCCCTCCACTATCACGAATCGCGGGCCTACACTATTCTTCCCACCCACTGATGTTATCACTACATTGCACACCTCAGAGCATATCCCGATGAAAACATCATTCTTCGTATTGCTGATACCAGTTTCACAGATCTCTTTGTGCTAAAGAAGACGCCAAGGCTGCACCTTTTGTGAGGAGGCTTGGATGAATCGAATCCAATCCGAGTGCCCGTCCTCCGAGTAAAATACGGATGAGCTAACAACGTGTCTTCCCATTAGCTAGACTATGCTTACGCGCCTTTCGGTATCCTACATCATTACATTGATACTAGTGGTTCCGTGGTCCCCACCTGGGTAATGGATGGGCCGCCTCCCTTGAGCACCTCGGATGCCTATCTAGCATGTCTCAGCAGCTCAGCCTCATGATTTTATCGCAGCCAATCACAGGATAATATTAGAACTAGCGCCATTCCATCCGGATGCACCTCTGAAAGTGCCCCATCCTTTGGGATCAGAAAAGTATAAGTAGAGGTCGACAGTGGACGGACTTTCTTTCGAGATATTTTCTCATAAACCTCAGACCTTCCGATTTGCATTCTTACTTTGCAGTCCCCCATCACATCCATGAATCAGCCCCGCCCCCGGAACAAATACGATGGGTATCTTTTCTTCAAGGCCGATCCTCTTCCCGGCCAGAGAACGACATGGCTTCGGGTAGAGCGCACTCGAATACATGCTACCCAAACTGAATTGTATGGTATGATATATGATCGAGCTTTCGAGATTTCTGCGGGGGGGCCAGTATCAGGCTCTGTCAGATGAGCGACGCGCCCATGTCAACCAGCTGATTCATGATCAGCGGCATCAAGACCCCTCTGTCGAGTGGAGCTGTGCGTACGCAAAAGAACACAGAAGGGTTGTCAATGACCGTGATACTGTTGACCGTGACCATGGGACTGTTGCAATGACAGTCATACTCATGCAAAGGCCTTTTAATACCGGCAATGCCTACCTGAGAACCCCGATGGGTGATTTGGTCGACCTTAAAATGCCTGTATACCTCAATGGGCAGGGGCATTATGTGAGGGTTGCAGCAGCAGCAACGTCTGGTGCTTCAATAGGCCACGAGCTTCCCCACGGCTTCGCCATGGGCCGTAAGTATCAAAACTCCAGCCTGCCGCAGATACAGGAGCGAGCCAGCATGACCTGCCTGCGAAAAGCGCTCTCCGGCCGTCAGCCAAGAATGACGAATCGATGCGCTCTACCAGAAGGGTAAGCATTTACTCGCAGGAACTTCATGCCAAAGATCCGTGAAATAATTGCTGATTCAAACTTGCAAAAGAAGCGCGAGGTCTCATATGGAGCAGGATAATGAAGATGAGGACGACACTGAAGAGACCGATAGTAAAGCAGACAATGACCGTGGATGCGCTGGAGCGCACAATCAATACATTTGTGCCCACGTGGCTCCCGACAATCCAGACTGCGAATTCACCCGTGGAGGACAGTCATTGCGAGGACAACGCTCCAAGCATGATCGTCGTTTGGTTAAATCGCGGGTCGCTATGGCCTTCAGGAGCCAAATGCGAGTGCGGACCAAACGACCAGGGATTCAAAAGCCGAAGTATAAATGGATCAAAGCCCGTCAGATTTCTAGCCAAACACATTTTTGTCCGTTACAGAAGGTATCGGAGGACGCGGCTCATGAAGAACTAAGAATAATTGGATGTCAACGTCGCAATTCTTGTTGATTTGTTTCCCGCGAGCTGTGGTTGGAACAGCCATATCCAATACCGGTTTTTTTTTTTTTTCATTCACTCGCCCATTCTCTTCCGTTTTTCTTTCCACTGCTGTATCGTTCCCTCATGAAAGGTGGTTCGATTTCTCATCCCCACATTTACTCTGTTTCTTGTACGGCTCATGACGCAACTCATTGTATAACCCCGATGATTCCAGTTGGTAACCATAGCGTATGTTACATTACATTCCCTTCAGCTGTCTTGTCCGCATGCGACATTGAGACCTTGGGAAGGGTCCAAGTAGGCTAGGCTAGCCGCCCGATACTCTATATCCAGGCATCGATTTACAGAATACTCGGTTTGCACAAATGCGGCCTCATCATATATTTGAAAATTAATATTTGATCTGCATGTCTATCAATATTTGGTCGAAAGGCGCTTGTACTGCCTGAGTCATTTAATCACACAAGCACCTCATTAAAGCGAATGCACTTTGTGCGGTTGGTGAATAAGTCTCAATTGCCGGACTGCTGCTGAAATCTCCTCCTGTCGTGGATGCATCATCTCTACACAAGTGGGACATATCTATCATGAAACATGAAATCAATATTGTGCTTTCTAGGGTGCTTAATACAAGCGTTGGCAGAAAAATGCCTGAATGATCAATCATTCAATCAAACCCCCAAGAACTCCCTCATTCATCGTATTTGCAAAAAGCATACGCACCCGCTTGAGGAAAGCCCCTAAATCCCGATTCTCATTCACAAGATTCACCACTTCTTTCAAAGCATCACGGTCCAACTTCGGCTTTGTATTAAAGACTTCATAGTCATCACAAGCAATCCCCAGCTCAAACCAAGCCTCATATTCCCAATCCTGCTCGGAGATATGGGTGAAAACGAATTTCAACCGATCTTCTCTCCCAGCACCCTCTATCCGCAGAGAAAGATTATTCTGCCAAAAAGCCAGCTCGGGATTATTCAAGAGGGATTGCGCATCTAGTTGTTTTGCATAAGCTTTTTGCGCTTCAACCCTCTGGGCAATAGAATTCCGAGTCTCCGCAATTTGCTGTTTGAGACGGTCGCGTTTAGCGAGTCGGGAGTCACGCTCACTGGTGATAGATGAGATTGCAGCATGCATTTCGGTAGCCTCGGCGGCTTCTCTTTGTAGTGTTTGTTTGTGAGATTGGGATTTGAGATTGATGGTTTCGATATCCCGTCGTATCATTCGCTCATCCTCTATAGCCCAATTTAGCAACCGTTAGAATCACAGTGAGGTAATACAACGCGAAACAGAATAGCTCTTCGTCATACCTTGCAGTTCAGTGAGCTTGACATGAAATTGGTCACGATCTTCGTGGAACTGTTTACGCCTATGCGCGATGGCTGCGTCAAACTTTGTTGTGAACTGGGCCATACGATCACGCAAATCCTCAAATCCAAAATTGATGTTGGGCAGCAAGTCGGCAATTGATGGGGCATCTGCTGAAGCGAGGGGTGGGCGCATGCCACTCGCCGCTCTCGAAGGCTCAGAGGGAGAGGAAACCATGATACAGAGTGGTGTATGGTAGGCAGTCAAACTGTTCTTAAGTCCTAAGAAAGTTGACGTGCAGTGAAATGGAAGGATGTTTTAGTTGCACCGTACCACGGCTTATTGAAGTGTGCATGGCCACTGCTCTAATTATGTGCTTGTCCTTGTCGACTGCAATTGGGTGGCGTTGAGCCCCTGAATGGACACAGTCCGCCTCAGATACAGCTCTTAGAATATCATGGGCACTTCTGTTGGCTCGAGGCTGATGTCCGTAGTTGCCAGGGTGGCGTAGTGGGTTTGTTTCCAACGTGCTGATTGGCAGATCACTTCTCTATGGGGTTCTTCGGCACGCGTTACTAGCGCGAGGATCATCGGAGCTTCACAATTCGGTTCTCGGGGGTGTAAAATTACCAAATTATTACAGAGAGCTTTCAATACATCGTAATATTTTGAATCAAACCTGATTGAAAAGTGCGGTTTGAAGCCCGGGAACAGGGAGAGGCGCAGAAATTTACGATTCGTTTCTGATTATGACCGGTGAAAGGACAAACTAAAAACGATGGTCCCCTCCTTCCACAATATTCCCATCAATGTTAGTGCTAGAAGCGCCACCTGCACATGCGAAAGCATTTACTTGCTTTCATACTGAGGCATATTAACCATTTTCCATCTCGCTACAGTAACAGTGCTCTACATCTAGTACGTTCCTCTATCAGTTAGACTCGTTTTGCCGCAGGGGCTTCCCTGGGCTGCGTGTGTACTGTATTAGACGTGGAATCACCATTGAGGGGGTCTCCAAGGCTCAAATGCCTGGACCCAGTCTCGGCGATGGACCTACATGGGTTTGTGCAGAGGCATACCTTACAAAATTACACAGGCAAATGAAAATTCACATAGTGTAAAGAATGCCTTCAAACTTCATTATATAGACAAAGGTGACTGCATAATTTATATTGCTATATTGAGAAGCAACAACGAAATTTGAGTGTTTGATTTTTGCTGACTTAGATTCACCGCAAATAGCTTGAATTGTACCCTCGGGCAGAAGAGGAAGCTCGAAGCGAACGATTGAAAAGTTAAAATTTTTAATGGCAAAAATGCTGATTCGAAAATAAGAAGTGGAAAATTATTAACGTCTTGGTCAAAATTATGTACTAGAGTTTTTACAGAAAGGGTTTTGTCGTGTTTCCATAGCCATGGGCTCCTTTTGGTTCATGTAGCGGAAAGTCACACGCCGATCCATCGCAACAGATGCACCATCCTTAGATAAAGATAAAGAAACCCCACATTTGAGCTGCGTGATTAAGGGCAAAAACATCATGAGGTGAGTGGGTGACGATCTTACGTTAAGCCAATAGTTTCTGCCATGCAGGTCTTGCTGGCAATCCAGTTCTGTGGGCTCTCCAACCCTCGGAATGTCAACCACCACATATCTTCTTGCATCCGATGTCTAAGTTTTTTTATCTATCACTCTGGGATGCTTTATATTTGAAGACGTCTTTGTTCGAATCTACGGGTTTTTCAACTTACCACTCGCTTGTTCAGACAAATAGACCAAGTCTGAGCCATGCAAATCCAATGTAACCTCCTATCACATCGCGACAACTCAAAATATCCCTACAAACTCGCCAAATACCGCTCTTTGTGGATTGTAGCTTAGACCGTATTGAAAATTATTACGATATTACACATCTATTGTCCCGTGTGGGTCCATGTCTACTCGGGATTGCCAAGGGCGCATCGGGGGTCCTGAGCGGTCTTACAACAATCGACAGGGTTTCATACTGTAACCAAACCCATACACTTGATAATTCACTACTCCTGTAAGAGCTTTCGGACTGTCGCCTGTGCGCTAGACCATCTGCGAGGGCTTCTGACCGGCGGTTCTGCTGGCTTGACCGACTTGCCTCCACTTGCAAAGGCTCAGTTATAAATACTGCCCCGTAGTTCGTCTGGGCCAGCCGGCCACAGTACCGTGTATCATATCTGTTATCCTGAGCCAAATTTCTATGTTGCCGACATTTAATGGTTCTAATATCGATATTTCATGAGCTTCTGTTTGCCCAGTTCCTCAATTATTCTACAGCCCGGGTGTCTACTTCAGTTGCCCGGAAATGGTCAGGTTCGGCAAGCTACAAAGCTCAACTCTCTATACTGTGGATGCTATATGAATTTAACACGCAATTTAAGCTGAATCTTTCTGTCGCACCGAATACGAGCCGATTCCCTGAAGATAAAGCTCCGTCAGCAAGCTGTGCTCCCCACGACGGAAACTGTCGACAGGCTGTGCATCAAAGTAGTGAGCAACTAGTACAGCTTTCATATTTTGGCCCTGCACTCACTGGATACAACGCTGCCACGACTACCAAGAAGCTAGAACGACCAAGCATGGATAGTATGACAATTTATTCTTAGTGGATGGACCAAAAAATCGCTTAGAAACTCAGATCTGACAGTCTTTGACATGAATAGGCTACGCAAACGAATACAACGCACTTCTTAGCGCCTCGAAAGAAATACTATCGAAGCTGGTATATCAGCAACCTGATGTCCCCGTTCCAGACATAATGGTGCTATATGGATACGCATTCGGCACACTTAGACCTGAAACCTCCTTCAATGTTCTCCTCCAATGGACTCAGATCGATAACACCAGCGCTCCAAAACACGGACATTACGGCAGGTTAGACCAGTACCCCAAGGTGAATTCGCTAATCCCAAGTAGATCCTGGATCTGAACTGTTGAATATACTCCTCAGAGATTATGGGAACCAACAGTTCAGTTTTTTCCGGCGTCTTTCTCACGCATTGCGATGCATTGAGATCGATCAAAAGGACAGGCAAATAATCAAATGGAGTATTGCTGTAAGGAAGCTCGAAATTCAGACACAATGTTGGAATTCTCTGCTCGAATCATCTGAACCTATCGTTTCCTAATGGGTATATTTGATTTTGTTTCTATGTTTTAACTTTGCTTTGCACTTTTGACAGAAATAAATGGAAAAAGACCCGCACAGCTTCCTGGCGAGGTTTTTAATGTGGTTTGTCTAACAATTGAGTATATACCATCACCTTTGAGGCTAAGAGTTGCCTGGCGCATACAATTTTCCAAAAATCAAACCACTCTGAAAATTACCATTGATAAATTACGCCAATTATCTCCATATTTTGTTTAACATTTTTCCAGACTGCTATTCTCCGTGGGAAAGAAGATAAAAAGCATAGTCGTCTGACAGGCACAGCGTATTCTGTTATTGGATAAATCATGGACCAGATTGATGGATTTCCGGACGATTTCGCACCATTGGATGGCAGAAGCGTCTTCCATTTTTGCAGCATTATATACCATGGAGCTATTTTCTAAGCACCCTTGTGGTTATGAGAAGCATAATTACCTTCATATAACAATTTTCTGTCCGTTAGCAGGGAATATTGCGCATCCTTCGCAGGCAGAGCGTAGAGAATAGGCACGCAAGAAACAT